AGGCATCGTTTGTTGTTCTTTTGTCCGCAGCAAAAAGTGGGCCAAAGTCCCTCAACACGCTCGCCGCCCTCCCCCTCCGTGTGTCCCCCGTGTGTGTGTGTGTATTCCCTCCACGCACGTTGGGCGTGCAGACCGGCACCACAAACTCCAGTACTCTCGCTGTTGCCGGGCGAGAGAGAACTGAGGACGGACGTACACGGCAAAAGACAAAAAGAGCGCCATAAACCACAGCGCAACAACAAACGCACATTCATTTCTACCGCAGTCAAATACACGCGCACACGCACGCAAATGCCGTTTCGCTCTATTTTCCTTTTTCGTTTTAACCGTTGTCCAGCCCCTGATCTTCGCTTACATTCATTACCGCCTTTTGCCAGCCGTGCGGCCTCGTCCCAAGCGGCCTAAATAAAGGCGCCCCGCCACGTACAAAACAAGACAAACAGCGCGGGTGAGGTACATGTTCAAATAATTCCCCACCCGGGAGTGGGGCAATAAAAAAGAAAAAAAGGACAAAAACAACAAGGCAGAAATGTGGACGTGCGGGCAGCACAGAAAAAGCAAACACAAAGGAAAAATAGATGCCACAATGCCAGAACCAAACTACATATGAAAAAAATGGGCCATCTCCCCATACCGGGAGCCACACCACCGGCACTGACGGCAGCCGCACCGTGGGACGCTCCGCTCACAAGTAAATCACACGAACTCACAAGAATACATCCCCAGCGGCTCCCAACCGCGAGGTGAGGGCTCAGGGGTGGGAAGGCCAAAGCAACGCACACACAAACAAAAAAAAAACACGCTGAATCCTCTTCATCTCCCAATCGCACAATTAACAGAATAAAATGTATAAAAAACACAGACTCACATACATCGTTCATTGGCGGCCCATCACACACACGCACCTCCTCATCACGTGCCCCCAGCAGAAGCACACACGCAGCACAACGCAACGGGCGCCCACTGACTCCACAACCACCTCCCGCACGCGGGTCGAGGGCAGGGAGTGACACGCTCCACGGGGCACGGGGCAGTCAATGACACATTCCACGTCGTTCGGCCACAGAGCACATAGGGCACAAACCGGAATGCAGCAACCAATCAAGCAATACATTAGGATGCAACGCGCACAGAAAACAGATCAGTTCTTTCATTTGTCAATCGCACGACGGGTATATCGTGTCGTCGGAGACACGTTCCACACGGGCGACAGGTGATGTGTCGTTGCCGAAGCGCGCCATCAGCGCAGCGTAGTCGTCCTCCCGCACGTGATGGACACACATCGAGGTCGGCACCACCTGCGAGTGCCCCGTGCCATTGCGGGCGTCATGGAAATGACAATCCTGCATCTCGACGTATACCATTGGCTTGTACTTCAATTCGTTCAGTAGCACACGTCCCACCATTACGTCCTCGTGCTGCATGTGAATCGAAAAAAACTCTTCCTCACGCTCCTTGCTGTACGGCAGGTACGCCAGGCGTCGCAGCGGTTCGTACGACACCAACGCCTCCGCCACATCCCTCGACAAGGTGTAGCACCAGCCAACCATAAACAACACATCTATTGAACGGTCCTTCACCCATAACGATGATCCAACATAAACACCCATGTAGATCCCTCGGCGCGGCAGGAGGCGCAGGTGAGCAACAAACAGCGGCACACGGAGGAACATGTCGTCATCGCCCTTCGCAATGTACCTCGCGGTCGGGAACAGGCGGTGCGCAAGGTCAAACCACATGTACGTCTTGCGGGTCATACCAATAGAAGCCTCAATGCCTGAATACCCCTCAACACCAACTTTTTTCTCTGGTGAAACACGGCCCTCGTTCATTGGCAGTGCAACCACATCGTTCCACTGCGACGCCTCCTCCAGCAGCGCGGCAGAGTAGTCGTAGCCGTGCGACGGGTGTCGCCCAAGGACGTACAGCACAAGCATCGCACCGGTGAAGTCGTTCGCCCTCGTCGCCACTCCGGGGAACCGCCAGCACGTCGACCGCTGCAGGTTGCGTTGTGTTCGCCTCGCCTCGTCGTCCGTGGAGGGGATGCCCAGCACAATCAGATACTCGCGCCGGCTCCACGTATCCACAACACGGCGTGGGATGTAAGCAAGTGCTGCGTCGTCCACTGCGGCGGCTCGCGGGTGGTGGGGGTTGTTGGGTCCCGGTGCACCATCATCGGCAGCGATGTCAAAGCTGAGGTACAGAATATTCGTGACCGCAATGAAGAGAATCAGCAGCACGGCAACCCGCCTCAGCCTCCGCTTCATCGTCGGCAGTTTCATTTTCGCCATGGTCGCTTTCGGTGTGAGAATCTAGGCAAAAGAAAAAAGGGCGGAGAGAGTGTGGGGGCAGCAGGCAGCAGACACAAACAGCTCGGGCGACAACCAGAAACAACACGGCCACGCGATGCCACGCAGCCACGCGAGTACACGAATGCCCGTCAGCCAACCCACTGCGCCCCACCCGAATCCGGGACGGTGCGGGTGAAGGGGTCAGGGCGGCGGAGAAGCCGACAGCACGCCGCAGTGGTGGCTCGACGATCCGCAGCCAACGCTTTTTTGCCATTCCTCGTGCCTTCTCAAATACGTCCCATGTTACGCACGCCAGCCACCGTTGCAGTGAACTTCCACCCTGCTGAGTGGGGACGTGAAGGAAAGCCGCGGTCCCCGGAGATGGCGCTGCAGTAGGCGGCGTGAAACACAACCCCGTGATGCATCCGCCTGGTCTAGCGCACTCGCTTGATAATCAGTTGTCGCCGAAAATCCGTAAAGTAACAAACCAGTGAACCAAGTCATCCACAAATTGGTAAAAGTGAAAAGTAGACACCTGCCACAAGCATTGGCGTCATGCCGCAGCCGCGATGGGCCTGGCGCCTTTCCGCCTCGAGGAGAAACTGCGCCAACTCCTTGGTGAAGCACAGATTCCTCACTTCTCCAGTGTCCACTCCACGTTCATGTCCGGGCGCCTGCTGA